GGGATAAAGTGCTCAATATCAGAGATAGAACGTATGTAAGTTAACATTGAAGTCAACACTCAGAGGCGACAGGCTGTTTCATGCTAGATGCAATCATCAGGCCACATTACAAACATTATTTCGGTTTATTTTGATGATAATCCTTTCATATTCACGAAAGTTTTTCCGTATATTACAGTTAATCAGTTAAGAAATGCACAGTAATACTGAGAATCAATTTTATTACTGTTACAGTGAATTTCTTGCCTTATTTAATTGTAATATACGGAACAATATTCGTGAATATGAAAAGATTATCATCAAAATATGCAGACATATATATATGTGTGTGTGTGTGTGTGTGTGTATAAAGCTTATTCACCATTTTCCTCAGTCTCCCTTCAATATTTATGTCTTTGTTCCTTTGAATATCAAATTCTCCAAGCGTTCTTTTCCTCATTATGTGCTTTCAATTGCCTCTTTCTGATTCTAGATAATTGTCGTTTTTTTTATTTCGATTTTTCATAAAACTCATATGTCTATGGGATTCTTGGCATTCTTCTATAGACCAACCTTACTCTGGCATTAAGTCTTTGTGAGAAGATTATTCTGCATTCACTGCTATATAGAAAAAACCAATATTACATAGCAGTTCAGTACCGTTTGCTTTGTTTCTAACGACATATCTTAATACTTTGATTAGCTTTTTCAAGGCATCTTTCAGTATTCCTGTGATTTCAGTGTTACATTTCCCGTCCACTCTTGAAACATTTCCTAAATATTTAGATTTTGGTATTAAGTAGATTTTCGTGTCTCCAATTCACACATCACATCTTGTGATAGTCCTTTGCTGACAATTATTCATTCTGTCTTCTTACAATTCATGATTAGTCCTTTCTTTTCACTTTTCTTTAATGAAGGACTTCATGTAGTTTCCTTTCTGTGTCTGCTATCAACATTGTACCATTTGCATATCTTACTTTAAGACTGTGACCGCCAATAATGAATCCTGCTAGGACTTCTAATTATCCCAGGATTGCTTCACTGTAAATAAGTCCGGTGAGACGACACATTCTTGTTTTACACACCAATATATTTTTGAGTATTTACTCAAATCGTTTATATAAAAGTGCAAAACGATGACGATTTTGTCTTAGTTTAGTATTTGCAGGAAAAGAACATGTGATATATGTTTCAAAGCCTGTCTATATTTCTGAGATGAGGTATTATGTACATTATTTACATTATTGTCCTCATCTTTGTCGCCATATTTATCACAACGTTTCGGCCGTTGTACGCTCCGGATTTCTTCAGGTTCAGTTCGACATTCCAACCATCTGAAGAAGGCCGGAGCGTACAACGGCCGAAACGTTGTGATAAATATGGCGACAAAGATGAGGACAATAGTCCGAATAATGTAAATAATGTTTCAAAGCTTTCAACTATTTTGTGCCTCTGTTTCGGACGGTGACGTATGCTACATGGAAATACAGTGAATCACGTACAAATAGGTGCAAGAATGCTACAGAGAAACATAAGCTTGTTTTTTTTCACTATCTTCAAGGACACAATGCTCAGAGGATAAAAACGTTGCTTGAAGTAATCCAGTGACTTGATTCAAAGAGTTCAGTATCTGAAAAGGTGAACAAGAAATTGGAAAGAAGTGTTAGAAAAGAAAAATAACTGGAATTGAGATATCCAGAAAAAAGCATGGAACATGGAACTAGAAAAATCTTCTCCGGTGGACGGAATAAAGGTTTCATTTCGAAGAAGGCTGGAGCGTAGAACGGTCGAAATGTAGGGAATATGATAATAAAGATGAGGACAACAGTCCGAACGATGTAAATAGTGAAAATACTTACAGTACTTCCTCTCAGAAATATAGACATATCCTGAAGAAGCCCGGAGCGTACAACGGTCGAAACGTCGTGAATATGGCAAGAAACATGAGGACAACAGTCCGAACGATGTAAATAGTGTAAATATTTATAATATTACATCTCAGAAATATAGAGATATCCTGAAGAAAACCGGGGCCTACGACGGCCGAAACGTCGTGAATATGGCAATAAAGATGAGGACAACAGTCCGAACGCTGTAAATAGTGTAAATAGTTATAATATCTCATCTCAGAAATATAGACATATCCTGAAGAAGCCCGGGGCGTACAACGGTCGAAACGTCGTAAATATGGCAATAAACATGAGGACAACAGTCCGAACGATGCAAATTGTGTAAATAGTTGTAAAACGTCATCTCGGAAATATAGACATATCCTGAAGAAACCCGGAGCGTACAACGGTCGAAAAGTCGTGAATATGGCAATAAACATGAGAACAACAGTCCGAATGATGTAAATAGTTATAGTGTTTCATCTCAGAAATATAGACAGATGCTGGATTTTATCAATCATGCCCCCCACCTTTTTTAACTGTTGTGCACCTAATTCAAGGCCCAAGAGCCACTTAAATGAAAGAGCGACGAAACGAGTTTGTTATTTGAACGTAAAAAAAAGATTAACAGTATCGATTTTAAAGATGTATCGAAAAGATAACGTTTAACTCCAGACGGGAACAAGTTAAGATTGTAGTAACCAAGGAAGCACCTGTTCCACAAAGTAGCAGTTCTTGGAGAAAAGATGTCCGAATGGAACATCTTTTTTGCCAGTGGAATATGAAGGGAAATGAAAGTGTTTCGTCCCAGTTTGCGTAGCATGTTTGACCTGAATCTGTTAAGGTCTGAACTGGTGGTACGAGAAAGAACATTTTCCATGCAAATAGGAATAAAGTAACATTAGTCTTGTTAGTTTTTTTTTTCTGTGGGAAATGGGTTTTAGGGTGGAAAATAATTCATCACCCACAAGGCCGCGTAAACGCTTTTGAACCCAGTCAAAGATGGAAAGAGACAGGATGCTCATTTCGAAAAAATTACTAGCGCAATAGTACATAGTACTTTTAAATTGTTATGTTGTGGTAATCCTCCATTTTTGACACTTGCTAAAAACGATGGATTGTAACGACGACTTCGCATGTCAGTCTGAGAGCCATACCTGTCAATCACTTGACATCTTTCTGTATGCATTACAAAATCTATAAGAGACATGGTATAATACAGTCATTAACAAAAGTTTAAGACTAGTTACTTGTAACATGTTTATTTTCGTTTTTGCATTACCTTGTGTATCTAACATTATTCATACATGATTTATGGCAAAAATGTTTTATCATTACCAAATTTATTTATTTTTACAGTAAGATTCACATTGTACAAGGCCCGGGGGCCACTCGAGGTAGAGGGTTACGTTAGGAGGCATTTTGTACGGATAGGAGAGGAAGGTAACGGTTAACCTTAGACGTGAACGATTTAAGATTGCAGTGATCGGGGAAACATCCTCTTGGGGCGTCTGTTCCACAAAGCAGTGCTTTGCGGGAAGAAGCTATTCGAGTGGAACTTACTTCTCATTGATGCAATGGGAAGGGAATTTGGGTGATTTGCTACAATGTAAATGGCATGGCGGATCCTTGCCGTGAAGCTTAGACCTAACAAAATCTAGGAATGTAGTTTGTTCGACCATTTTCCGTATAAGTAGCGACAGAGGAACATGAGGCTTATGAAAGAGAAGGTGGAAAATAATTCATCACCCACAAGGGCTCGGAGACGCTTTTGAACTCTGCCGTAGCTGGAGAGTGCGGTTTGGGCAGCTCCCGCCCAAATATAACAACAGTCCTCCATTTTTGGCCTGATCTGGCTCTGCTCTTTTAAAGGTAGAGGATTTACACGTGGAGTCAGGTACTTAATGGAACGGTACAGGCAGCCTATCGTTTTACCTAAGCACATTCTTGGACAGGGAGTGTAAAGACAGCATCCCAGGGGACATCGCGGAGGAAGTCACGGAACGAGTCCCAATCCGCTCGTTGATAGTAGAACGAGGTTCTTGTGATGGGAGGTTCTTTGCGGGGTGTGGAGTTGAAGGAAATGTTGACAGATACCACGGCGTGATCGGAGTTGCCAAGCGGGCAGAGCTGTGTGGCGCTGCAAGATTCGGAGAGGGAGGTAAAACACAGATCGAGAAGAGAGGCCTTACCTGCCAGGTTGAGGGCAAAACGTGTGGGGAATTCAACTATCCGTCTCTTCTACTCCATTAGCTTCATACCTCGCACCTCTCGCCAGTGGAACACCCTCCCCAATTACTGTTTCCCTGAGAGCTATAATCTCCAACTGTTCAAATGTAATGTCAATCGACACCTCCAGTTACCTTGATCTACCCACTATCCCTCTCCTCGTCCTTTCTTCTATCACTCCTATCTGCTCTCGCTCCAAATCTTCCACAACCCCCTGCATCCTAGTGGCTTCACGCCTTGCTTGGGGCGTAATGCTTAAAAAAAAAAAAATCTTTAGACGATGGCTCTTATGTAAGAGTTCCCCTTGTGAGTTTAAGGGTCAATACTCTCTCAAGGTACAGAGTCTGCCCGAGGGTGCATCCGTTCGTCGTGACTGGCGTTAGTTCGGCGTCCGATCGGCGATGATGGAATATAACTAGTTTGGTTTCTGAGGCACTGACTGCACGAACAAACGATGTATGATGCAATGCATGTGGAACTATTGCAGGAGGAACAGGAACCGGATAAGCACATTTATTAGTGTACAATAATTATGCATGATAAAGCTTCGTGCGACTAAAAAATTATGGGAAATTGTCAAAATTAATATGACAGTAAAGATAAGGACAGCAGTCTGAACAATGTAAATAATGTAAATAATTACAACGTCTCAGCTCAGAAATATAGACATAGATAGATAAATAGATATGAAGAGACATTAGATAGATAGATAGATAGATAGATAGATAGATAGATAGATAGATATGAAGAGACATTAGATAGATAGATACATAGATAGGAAGAGACAATAGATAGATAGATAGATAGATAGATAGATAGATAGATAGATAGAAGGGACATTAGTTAAATACATAGCTAGATATCAAGAGACAGATAGATATATCGATAGAAATGAAGATATTAGATAGATAGATAGATATGAAGAGACACTAGATAGATAGATAGATAGATAGATAGATAGATAGATAGATAGATATGAAGAGACACTAAATAGATACATAGCTAGATATCAAGAGACAGATAGATATATAGATAGATATGAAGAGATTAGATAGATAGATAGATAGATATGAAGAGACAATAGATAGACAGATAGAAGGGACATTAGTTAGATACATAGCTAGATATCAAGAGACAGATATATCGATAGAAATGAAGATAGATAGATAGATAGATAGATAGATAGATAGATAGATAGATAGATATGAAGAGACACTAAATAGATACATAGCTAGATATCAAGCGACAGATAGATATATAGATAGATATGAAGAGATTAGATAGATAGATAGATAGATAGATAGATAGATAGATAGATAGATAGATAGATTTATTTATTTATTGGCCCCTTCATAGAAGCGTTTCATTTTGCTGGGGCCACCCGTAGACAAAAATCTTGTTTCGAAAAATGCCCAGTAGCGATGTACTATTCCAGCTGATGAATCTAGATAAGTGACGGGTGCCATTAGTCACCCGTACGCAAGAACTGATACCCATCTGTGTATATCTGTGTGTTACTTGTCTGAGCTGTCAAAATATTCACTGAGCTGTGACCTGATGAACAGATTTTCGTCCACTAACGGGGAGCGGGATAAGAGCGTAGACCTGAAAGCATATCGGCTGTACAATGTCGGCAAAGGAGGCTACGACGGAATGGCAGTCGACATTAACGGAGTCGTAACTCAGCATGACAACATTTAACACGATTGCTACAATATCATATGTGCGTTCGCGTGTGAAGAGGGAAGAGAGGAAATGATAGAAAGAGAGAGAATTATAAGAGAGAAAGAGTGAATGGGAGAGGTATGGTGAGAGAGGGAGAGACAAAGAAGGTCATTGGAAGTGCAAGACGAAAAATAAGTGAGAGAAAAAGTGTGTGTAAATTCTCGAGAGAAAGATGCAAAGAAACGAATATTGCGAGTGGGTGTGATACAGGGAGAAAAGGGGATTTGAAGAGAGACAGAATAAATGTGTAATTGATTGAGATAGAGAGATAAAGATGCTGGGAAGATTGAAATAGAAGAACAGGGAGAGAAAAAAACAGAAGGAGTCGAAGTAAAAGAGAGAATAGTAAGTGTAAAGAGCGACTGAGAGAGAAGAAAGACAAAAGGTATATTAGACAGGGTGAAGTATAGCAACATGGTGATATAAAAAGAAATAGAGACGAAAATAGATGGGGACACTGGCCGAATAGATGCAAAAGCATAGAGCATAAAAAAAAAAGAAAAACGAAGGAGATATAATGATAAAAGCAGATAGGAAATGCAGATGCGATTGGCGGGAGGTTTTATGCGAAAGTGAAATGGAAAAATTGAATATAAGTACGAGAGTAACAATCATTTCCCAAGGGCATTTGCGCGTAAGCAAATGTGGCAACTTCAACTGGAACACGGACATAGCCCTACGAACTCATATTCCAAGGCGCTATCCCTTACCCGAACAGCACACTCTAGAAGACGACGAAAGACAAAATATAAAAGAAAGTGCAAGGAGTAGAGCTTATAAAAGAGAAGGGGCTTGGAAATAGAGAGAGGGTGTAAAAAAATGATTTAGAGTAGTTTGGGAGGGATAGAGAGAAGCTGTATGAAGAAGAAGAAGAAGAAGAAGAAGAAGAAGAAGAAGAAGAAGAAGAAGAAGAAGACACAAGGCTTAAGCGCCATCGTCAAGCAATATCCACACTGCTTATATATATATATATATATATATATATATGTGTGTGTGTGTGTGTGTGTGTGTGTGTGTACCGGGTGTAACAGTAAAATTGTCCAATTGTTTGATTAAGCTTTGAATCATTGTATCTTAGAAATGATTAAAGATATTTTACTGGAATTCTCCGAGTTATTGTTAAAAAAAAAATAAAATAAAAACACTGTTGAACTCTACATTGTGCAACAAGAATGTATAATTACTCTTCAAGCTTAACAGAAGAATCGTGATGAAAATCGATCGTAAACGAAAATGACATGTTCGTTATTAATTAATCATAGCTAAGAATCGGAAGCTCATGAAGCATTGAAATAAAAATCAAATATATATATATATATATCTATATATCTATCTATCTATCTATATATATATATATATATATATATATATATATATATTATTCCAGGATCATTTTCCAACTTATTCAAGATTATCTTTGCCCTCTCTAACTAACCTTCGGACGTTCTGTCGTGGAGTAACAATTTGCTTCACAGATTTCACGTATGATTTCACCTTCAAGTATTTTTTCACTGCTCTTGAACTGTCATAACTGAAACTTCTCTCTCGTGCCAAACGTCTTATAGACTGAGTTGAATCTTTTCTAATTGATCTCTGTAGCCCTAGGTTGAAATGACGATCATTCATCCTTTTGTGACCTACTGGCCCAGACTTCCTCTCCACAGTTCCCTCTTTTTTTAAATTATTCACCGTTCTCTGGATGGTTCTTGAATGAACTTCGAAGATAGAAGACAGAGTAAGAATGTTGGTACCACAGTGAAGACCTGAATGATCTTTTTTTCCACGCGCCATTGTTCAATTGAGAAGACAGTGGGTCTGACACAAAACGATATTGACCTGTTCGATTTTATTTAAACTTCTTGAGATTTCTCGAATATATCCTTTTCGTCAATCCTCACAGGTGAATCGATATCTATATCTATACCTAATTCCAATCCTATGGGTTGGGTTAACTCGTAGTATTGTTTGCAGAAACTTTCCAAATGTGTGGCGTGCTGGGATCGCTTCCCCAGGACAGAAGCAATATGTCAACTCCCTGACAAACAGAGCATGGTGAGGTTTCTTATGGCCAGAAAACGAACGCACACACACACACACACACACATATATATATATATATATATATATATATATATATATATATATATTTATATATATATATATATAAAAGAAATATGTTGTAGTGGTTCCAACGAGAGAAAAGTATGTATATTAAAAAGAAGAGAAGCGAGGTGCCGCAAACGTTTTTGGTTGTAATGTGTATTTATTTAGAAAAAAATATTATGCTTTGTTTTACATAATTTTACGACACGTGTTTCTGGTCTCGCGACCGTCTTCAGGTAAAAACGGAGATTTCCACATGCTATTAAAAATAATTAATTTTTTCTTTATGTTCAATGTTAAATATTCTCGATATGAGACATTCTCTGTTTGTGTGTTGGTAATCCGAATTCCTTTCTTGAATTCGATATATATATATATATATATATATATATATCCCGGTTGTGCCACCGCTTATAATGACGCATTTTCATCCATTTTACGTAGTGCTCGCTCGGTTCACCATCTCCAGGGTTCTTGAATCTATTTACATTAAGTTTCATTTAGCCAAGCCTTAGTAAACAAAAGGAACATTTTATTTGTTCCTTACATTTGATCGAGGGATTATGAGTAACTTTTTTTTTTCCATTTTATACTCTTTTTGGAACTTGGCATCTTTTAGTCGTTAATTTATTTATAATTTAAATCTATTTTAATCATGTTCCAATTGTTCTTCCTCATTGGTTATTTATTAAAATAAGTCTTCGATTGTTTCCTGATGCTCGCCAACGAATAGCTTTTCTGAAAGGGATGCTCGAAAGAGTTCTAATGGTTAAGTAATGTCTATTTTATTTAAATCTATCTATCTATCTATCTATCTATCTATCTATCTATATATATATATATATATATATATATATATATATATATATATTTAAGTTATGAAGATGATGATCCGGCGTCCTTTAAAAGGACTCTGGTGTAATAAATTATTATAATGGTACCTTAAAGTGGTCTGCTTTTCTTTAATATATATATAATTTTAGTGAGAGTGTATGTGTGGGATTGTAAAACAAGTGTGAAAGGGAAATGTATGAAAGTTCTAGAGAGTGGTGCAACAGAAGAAAGAAGAACAGGAAGGCCTAAATGTGGGGATTAAAATTTGAGAGAGAGAAGTTTTAATAAGAGGAGTTAAATAACGGTTTAAATAAGTGAGATAGAGATAAATTCGAATTATTTTTCGATGCATAATTCGCTACCGAATCGCTGACCTAAATTAAAATTAAAAAACAGACATCGGAAACATGTATATACATTTGTGGTGACACTACGCACAATAAAAAATGATATGATCTAAACTTAAAATCCAGAAGATGAGAGAGAGGAAAAAAAGATGGAGTGGGATATATAATTATTTATTATATTATTACTTTGTCCTGGACATTGAGTTCTACGTGGATTCTATCCTCTTGGAAATTTATATATATATATATATATATATATATATATATATATATTCACCAATAATAATAATAATAATAATATATATATATGTATATATATATATATATATATATATATGTTTATGCCCTAACCCTATATTGTGTATAGGACACAGGCTCGATTCTTGTCAGGGGAACGCATATTTTCTATAAAATTTCTCAAGCATTCAAGTCGGCAAATGTAATTAATACTGTTTATTTAAAGGAAAAAAAAAACAAAACAGCGTATATACTTAAATAATTTGTATATATTAAAAATAACATATATATTAATAATATATTAAATAATCGTCGGACTTCATATCCATTTCATATTATACATATATATATATATATATATATATATATATATATATATATATATATATATATATTAACACAGACTTGTACCTACAGAAGAAGAAAGTAGACTTTAACAGAATGGACATCATTATTCATAATTATTTAAATCTATTTTAATTTTCCCTCCTCATTCGCCTTTTGAGAAAGCGTTGGCCAAAAGGGTCCCCTCAAGGTAAAATAATGACGTCCATTCAATTTAAATCTATTTTCTTCTTCTGTGGGCACAAATCATTGTTTTCAGGGGTAGAATCCCCGACTGATGTCAAATCAGTCGGGTTTCGATCCCGGCTACACGAAATCGGATGGCCATCAACACTGATGAGCTGTAATACAGCGAAACAGTCTGTCTGTGGATGACATTGTATACGTCCCCGGAAAATTGTATTCCGGTCGAGCACTCTTGGGAGAAAGCGCGAATTTGCAAACAATAACTACTATTACTCTCTGTGGAAGACATTTATATATATATATATATATATATATATATATATATGTGGGGGGGGGCGTGTGTGCGTGCGCGCGCGAGCGCGCGCGTGTGTGTGTGTGTGTTAAAACAACAGACATTTTGTGTCGATTATTTTCCAAATTACGAATAATACTTCCAAGACAATGCGGGAAAATATGCTCGACGTACTTAAGTCATCATCAGTTTAAGTGGGGACAAGTGAGATTTCCATAGAACTAGACAGTATTCTGGAGTGTTTTTTCAAATACGTATTTCACCCAAAAAAAGGCGGGCATTCAACTAGCACGCAAAATGTTACAGAGAGTGAGAGCAAGAATAAAGACGAGTGTCTTAGGAAAGGATATAGAGAAGGACGGTGATCAGGATCAAGACATCAGAAGATATCGATTGACATTACATTTTATCAGAGAAGCAAGTAAGTGGAAGGGAGTTCCACTGGCGGGAAGTGCGAGAGAAGAAGCTGTTGGAGTAGAAGAGGCGGTTACATTTAACTGATTCGACAGTGAATGGTTCGGACTGAGATGCCAAGCTAGTAGCACGCTTAAATCCATGCAGTTGAGGTACCAACGAAAGTAGCTGGTCAGGGGAATTGCCATGAAAATATTTGTAGAAAAGACAGAGGGAAGCCACAGCACTTTTGTGAGAGAGTAGCTGTATGCCAGATTAGGAACTATGGCATTGCATATTCGTCTCTGGATTTTGTCGATGACCTCGAGATGAATAGCGGAGGCACCAGACCGTATATGACAACGGTATTCAATGCAAGGAATACTGGTAGATTAGTACATTTGAAGGATGGACTCAGGCAAGGCAAAGAGTTTTGTTTTGTGATGTAGGCGAAGTATGACGTATGATTTTATTATTTTATTTCGTTTTTATAATGTACATTTTATAATACGTGATCTTAAGTTATAATTCTTTTTATTTATTGATGGTTGTTTTTGCCTTATGAGTATTACTTCAGGGTCCTAAATCTGCTTTCACTGTTAGATTTTGCTAGTAATTTAGTAATAAAAAAAACACGTCACACCTCTGTGTTTTTCTCTTTCGAGCTCTGCCGGTGTAC